AGGTCTGAAAGTGCCTTTCTGGAAGTGTGGGAAAATTCAGCTCATGAACTGCTCTTTGCTAACTGCATTTTGTGCCTCACACTCCCTTGAATACGGTGTTGTTTTTCCGGTCTCTTGGTATTAATCGTTCTGATGTAATAAAGATAAAATGGGAGAAGCCGACCCAGGGCTTCTCCTCACAGCTAAATCTTGGGTCCAGTAGCTCCTTCCTTAGACTATGGTAAAGACACTTCTGAGAACTTCTAAATGTGAGCCAAGTTGCTTTCTTTGTGGGGGACTCAGCGTGCCGGGCCCACTAACAGACACAGGTGCCCATTCCCCCCAAACTTCTCACCCACCCGAGACATGGGTCACAGAGAAGCAGGCCCATCTGCTGGTAATCTAACCCAGCGGAGGTCCGAAGGAGGCACTTGCACAGGCCTGTGTCAAGGCTAGCCTTGGAACCGAGGCTTCAGAACCAGAGGTTAGCCCCCAGGCTCTCAGCCTTGGAGGCACGGTGGCCATCGGGTAGGCCCTGGGTGTAAAAGGTCCCTGGAGTGTCAGGCACCCTGCGCACACAGCTTTGATTCTGGTTCAACATAATGTTGCCACTGCAGCTGTGTGACCTTTGGCTTCTCACCAAACTTTCTAGTACCAGTAGACAGAAAAAATAGCGCCTACAGATGACTCCACTCTCCAACTGTTGACTGAATTGTGTCCCCCTAAGGGAATATGACGAAGCTCTGAACCCTTGAATAGGGCCTTTAAAGAAGTAGCTAATACTAAATTAATACTAAATTAGGTTATAAGGGTAGGGCTTTAATCCAAGACAACCAGTATCCTCCTAAATAGAGGCTGGAGTAAAAGCCTGATGAGGGCACCTCAGGGGTGTGTCTGTCTGCAAGCAGGAGATACCCTGGGAAAGAGCAAAGCCACACACCTTGATCCTGGACCTCTGGACTCCAAACGAAGAAGCACCTAACAGCACCTGCTGCTTTAGCTAACCTACTGGTGGGTTGTGTTATGAAAGCCCTGGGCCATGAGGTGCCCATGGTTGCTACTTCTCGGGAAACCGAGTCACAGGTGACACACCCTGAAACTGAAATCAGATTCTTTCCATAAATCTCAAATATACTCGTGGCAGGTGTAATAGACACACTACCAGCACCCCAGCCACCTCTGAGTTCCTTAGACATGTGCCTCAGTGTCACCCCAGCCTTCCTAAGCCCCATGCCTGTACTGGAGAGCCAGCACAGCTTGGGTGTGGGCCCTTGTAAGCCGGTGAGTGCCTGGGAGCTAATGCCTCTCTCCCTCACCCTCTCCTACAACCCCAGCTGCCTTCCACCAAGGAGGAGGGGGCGGCAGTCACTCCACGCTCAGCACAGCTCCCTGGCCTTCTCCTGCAGATGGAGCCCCATTGCCCATAATGCCCCTAAAAGATTCACCCCTTCCTTCTCTCAAATAAACTGCGGTCTCAGCATCTGCTTTGAGGGATTCAAATGGGAGGCAGTTGTGAAGTTTCCTGGTCTGGTTTGTTGGTTTTGGGGATTTTTGTTTTTTGCTTTAATTTACATTCATTTATTTGTGGGGTGAACATTTGTGAAGGTCAGAGAACAACTTGTGGAAATTGGCTCTCTTCTTCCACCGTGTGCTCCCAGGGATTGAACTCAGGTTGCCAGGCTTGGTGGCAAACACCTTTACCAGCTAAGCCATCCCACTGGCCCTCTCCACTATTTTGTTTTGTTAATAGATTTGGGGTTTTGTTTGTTTTGTTGGTTTCGTTTTTGTTTTTGCTTTGAGACATTTTGGGGCTGATAGCAAAACTAAGTTGTAGTAGGTTAATAAAAACCCAGAGACTGATATTGGGGTTCAAAGATCAGTGAAGCAAAGCAGCCGAGCTACTGCTCGAGCTACAGCCGAGTGACTGGAGACTAATTGCCTGAACGAGGCTAGAGACCAAAACTGCCCCAGATTGAATAACTGCTCCTATCTTATATACTTCAAGTGCTGGGATTAAAGGCATGTGATCCCAAGTGCTGAGATCACCTTTGTGTGAGCTGTTTCTCTTTAGACTGGATCAATTTCATGTAGCTCAGTGTGGCCCTGAACTAACAGAGATCTGTCTGCCTGTCTCCTGAGTCCTGGGATTAAAGATGTGTGCCACCACTGCCTGGCTCCATGGCTAGCTAGTTTGGCTGCTGGGATTTAAGGTGTGTATCACCACTGCCTGACCTCTATGGCTTGTGGCTAGCTTTGTATTCCAAACCCTGAGGCAAGCTTTAATAAATCATAAATAATATATCACCACACTGAGTGAAAGGTACAGAAATTTACTTACACTTACTGCCTCCATGGTTATCAGCATCCCCGACCAGAGTGACACATTTATTATACCTGATGAGACTACACCACACATCATTAGCACCCAAAGTTGGTAGTCCTCGTCAGGACTCACTCAGTGCTGGCACTCTTCAGTATCAGCAGCGGAACTGCCCTCAGAGACGTCCACCTTTACACACACACACACACACACACACACACACACACACACACAGACACACACAGACACACACACACAGAGACACACACAGACACACACAGACACACCCACACAGAGACACACACAGACCCCACACCACACATCACTACACACCACACACACAGACAGACAGACACACAGACCACACACAGACACACACACCACATACACACACACACACACACACACACACAGACACACATAGACACACACAGACACACACACACAGAGACACACACAGACACACACAGACACACCCACACAGAGACACACACAGACCCCACACCACACATCACTACACACCACACACACAGACAGACAGACACACAGACCACACACAGACACACACACCACATACACACACACACACACACACACACACAGACACACATAGACACACACAGACACACACACACAGAGACACACACAGACACACACAGACACACCCACACAGAGACACACACAGACCCCACACCACACATCACTACACACCACACACACAGACAGACAGACACACAGACCACACACAGACACACACACCACATACACACACACACACACACACACACACAGACACACATAGACACACACAGACACACACACACAGAGACACACACAGACACACACAGACACACCCACACAGAGACACACACAGACCCCACACCACACATCACTACACACCACACACACAGACAGACAGACACACAGACCACACACAGACACACACACCACATACACACACACACACACACACACACACAGACACACATAGACACACACAGACACACACACACAGAGACACACACAGACCACACACCACACATCACTACACACCACACACACAGACAGACAGACACACAGACCACACACAGACACACACACCACACACACACACACACACCACACACACCACCACACACACACACACTCCCACACACACAGAGAGAGAGAGAGAGAGAGAGAGAGAGAGAGAGAGAGATTGTTTCAAACAATAAACACACACACACACACACACACACACCACACACCACACCACACACACTCTCACACACACACACACACCACATACACAACACACACACCACACATCACCACACACATACTCTCTCACACACAGACACACAGACACACAGACACACACACACACACCACACATCCACACACACACCACATACACAGACACACACACCACACATCACCACACACACCACCACACACATACACTCTCCCTCACACTCTCTCTCTCACACACACACACACACAACCACATACACACACCACACATACACACCACACACACCACACACACACACTCTCCCTCACACACACACTCTCTCTCTCTCACACACACACACACACACTCACACAGAGGAATACACACACACAGACACACACACACACACACACAGAAATATACACACACACACACACACACACACACACACACACACACACACACACACAGGAACACACCTGGCAGCCACTCCTTCACTGCCTTGTTTGTCCTTTCCCAGAGGAGCTGTATAGTTGGAACTGTGCATAGTGACACATTTTTAGATTAGTTTTTCGTTCATTTTATAACACTGAACTCATGATTCACCTGCCTCCACCTCCTAGAAGACAGTATTACAGGTGAGTACCCCTAGCCCACCTTAAACACCTACATAAACAAAAGAAAACACTTGTTTGGGTTGCCCACCCCAACACAGCCCTTCCTCAGCTGACCTGAAGGCACCACTAGGCCCTCACAAGGCTCAGGCTGACTGTTCCTTTAAAGGTTGTTTCAGATCAGGCTCCTCTTGCCAGCACAGTGATCACATCTGTGAGGAGTCCTCCAGACTGCCTATTGCAGCTTGGAGAAGTTTAGGGTAGGGTAGGAGTATGCCAGCCATACCCTGTGACAGGTAGGGACTGAGGGATGCTAGGAGAGCCTGGCAGCCAGGCACCTCAGCCTTTGCCCCACATCTGAGACCTAACACTGACATATGCACCCTTGTCTGTTCTGTGTTCCTTCTAGAAACAGACAAAACCATTCTTCCATCCAGGTTTCTCTCCAGAAAGACAGAGAATACACCCTCCTCCTGCACTGCCAGGGCCATAGAAAGAGGAACCAGTCAGAGTTCCCAGGCTGGCTGAGGAGGGCCTGCATTTGCTAGACACCCACTTTCTTCCCGAGGGGCCCCAGAGCCAGGCATCTGTCAGAGCGGCCAGTCCTGACCCCCAGGCCTGAGAAAGTGCAGGAGATGGATGCTGAGAGCTGAAGAAGTAAGATGCCCCCAGCCCTTCATGCCAATAGGCACATTTCACACTGACAGGCTACCGGGGGTGTAGCACTATTTTTATTTAAAACACCAGTTGCCATGGTAACATCTACATAGTCCAATCTTTATTCTAAGCCACACAGAAAATACCCTCAGGAAGGGAGAATGAGAAGCCCTAGTGAGCAAGGGCCGCTCTGGGACTCAAACAGCAAACAGGCAATTCCTGGCTGAAAGAAGGCCACTAAGGCAACGTCTGTCAGAACTGGTCTTTAGTACTTGCACGAATCTCTCCCTGAGTCTTACTCTGCAGTCAGTGCCAAGGCTCAGAGAGGCCTGGGGGAGTCTGTGCTCTGTCCAGGTGTCTTGCAAACTGCAGGTGCTCCCTGGATGTTTCTTCTGCCATGAATTCAGCCGCTTGGAAGGCAAGTCATCCTTTCTCAGAAGTCATCCACCTTGTTTTTCAGACAGGATCTCGCACTAAGTCTAGAGGTTACAGAGGGGACAAGACTAGCAAACCCCAGGGACCCTCCTGTCTCAGTTTTCCCAGAGCTGTGCCAAAAGTGAGCATTACCCCACCCCAGCTTCTGGGAGCTGCCAAGTCTCAAGGATCAAACCCAGGTCCTCCAGGTTGTGCACTGGGCACTTTTCTGACTCAGCCTTCTCTCCAGCCACTAGTGTGGATTTTTAAAATTCTACTCCACAGTCTACCCATATTTTAGAAATACAGAATTGGGTCACAAACCTGCAAACACCGTGAACGGAAGCCACATCTTCTGATCTCTGATGTGAACCTCCTTGACTCTGTTTACTGCTGGCCTCTGTGTCTTTAATTCTACTGGTCTGCTTTGTGTGTTTGCAGAAAGGAAAACAAAGGAGACGAGGCACCTGCAATGCGGCAGAGTATTTGAATCAGAAATCTGAAGTGAGGTCTGCCTGCTTCACCTGCTACACCCGTCCCCATTTAGAGCAAGAGATCTGCAGATTCTAACATGGATGAGGGCTACAGCAGAGGTGGGCACTTTCTTGCCCCACCCCATGGGGCTTTGAGATTCTTTACCACCTGGAATGCCGGTCCTTTCGGTATTCCCTGAAGGTCACCTTTAGATTCTGGCTGTGTTCCCTTCCATTAGCATCTCTCAAAGGGAGGTGTCCCTGGAACACCACCCACCTCCACCAAGGCCCTGGTTCCACTCAGTGCCTGTGGGTATTGGAGCAGCTCACAGGACACCACTGCTGGTGTATCAAAAGCAAACAAAATGGTTTGGAAATCTGATCCTCTACAAAGCATGTGTACCTCGAGGATTAAAAACTCACAAATGAACAGGTTTGTTCATTCCTCGTCTAGCAAATGAAAATGACTTTTAAATCTGTAGTTATTTATAGATTTCAGGGGTTTGAGCTTGCTATGGCGTGTGGCCTCTGAAGAGAACACACATCCCACCCAACAGAGAAAGATACACAGGCTGCCCTTGGAGGTGTTTACCAGAGACATGGCAGGTTGACACCGTGGACTCAGAAGAACACTGCATCCCTCCTCTCAGTACTCATGGCCGAGAACAGTCCATCTGGACACACCTTAGGTTCCTGTTTGTTTGGCACATAATAACTTTCATTTGGATCAAAATCCAGGAGAAAAGAAAATATCTGCATCAAAATATCTAACAGAGGGCTGGTGAGAGGGCTCAGTGGGTAAAGGTACTTACTAACAACGTAAGCTCCATCCATGGGGCCCTCGTGGCAGAGGGAGAGAACTGATCCTACAAGTTGTCTTTTTTGGTTTTTCGAGACAGGGTTTCTCTGTGGCTTTGGAGGCTGTCCTGGAACTAGCTCTTGTAGACCAGGCTGGTCTCAAACTCACAGAGATCCTCCTGCCTCTGCCTCCTGAGTGCTGGGACTAAAGGTGTGCGCCACCAATGCCCGGCTTGTCCTCCATTCTAATTGCCTATATGCTTGCTGTAGCACCTGCACACATTAACAAAAGTAAATCATATTTTAAATAAATCAGCATTTTTTAAAGATAGAGGATGATGTTATAAATAAAAAGACCTCTATCTGAGTGTCGTGGCACATGCCTTTAATCTTAACACTAGGGAGGCAGAGGCAGGCATATCTCTGACCCAAGGCCAGGCTGCTCTACATAGAGAGTTCCATAGAGAGATACTGTGCCTTAATTAGAATTTCTATTGCTGTGATGAAACACTGTGACCTAAAGCAACTTTGGGAGGAAAAGGTTTGTTTTACTTACACTTCCACATCACTATCATTAAAGGAAGTCAGGACGGGAGCTCAAAAAGAGGCAGGAGCTGATGCAGAGGCCATAGAGGGGAGCTGCTTACTGGCTTGCTCCTCATGGCCTGCTCAGACTGCTTTTTTATAGAGCCCAGGACTACCAGCACGAAGGTGGCACCACCAGCCATGGGCTGGGCCCTCCCCCATCAGTCACTGACACAGGCTTACTTGCCACTGTGTCTGTGGAGGCATTTTCTCAATTGATGCTTCCTCTTCTCAGATGCCTTTAGCTTATAGCAAATAAAACTAGCCAGCACACCTGCAATGCTCCCTGAAAACCCTCTAAGTTCATTCTTCCCTGTGGTGGGTTCTGTTGTGTTCTGTTGTCTTTTGTCTCTAGACAGTGCCTCACTGTGTAACTGGCTAACCTGAGACTCACTATGTAGAGGCTGGCCTCTAACTCACAGAGATCCAACTGCCTCTGCGTCCAAAGCACTGGGAAAATAAAAGTATGCCATAGCTAATGATATCATAAAGGGATGTTTTTAAAAGAAGTATTGCTAGACAGATGAACAGTGACCCACTGAACAGTTTTCAGTGCAGCCCAGGAGAGTGGTGTCTTAGCTCCAGTGGCCTCCTAAACAAAAGCTTCCTCTTTTGCAATGGGTAAGAGAAATAGAACAAAGGAGCTCTCAGGTTTGGACACATATTTCAAACTAGATTGATAGGAGGGGAAGAGCCAAAAAGGCCAGAGGTCCCTTAATTCCAGGTAAAGAAGTCTCCAGTAAGTTCCTCTCCTCACCAACCAATGCTGTCAGAGATACACAGGAAGCCTTAGGTACCCACATGGATATGGAAGACAACCACTGTCTTAGGTTCATTTCTGTTGGTGTTGGCATGTATTTATAGCCCCAGCACTGGAGAGGTGAAAACAGTCCCAGGCCTGTCTCCAAAACCTTCAGTGAGCAGCCCCTAAAGAGTAACTCTCAAGGTTGTCCTCTGGTCTCCATGTGAACCTGCACACATACACATACATACATACACACACATATATTTATGTATACATATATATACATAAACACATATATGTATATACATACACACATGCATACATACATACATACATACATACATACATACATACATACATACACACATACACACATAAAACAATCCTATTACCATTCAAATTCTACCCTAGTGGAAACCTCACCTCTTCCCTGGAGTGTCAGTCCCATTTCCCCAGTCTTACAGTTCTCTTGCCCTGAACACTGCCACTGAGATCCTCTAGGGTGGCTCAACCCTCAGTCAGGCTATTCGAATCTCACTTTAAATTCAGATTCACGTAGGGCATCTAAAGAATGACCTCAAAAAGCAAGAGCCAGGCAGTGGGAAGTGGAGGAATTGTGTATGGCTGAAGAGGTCACTGCTGTGGACAGTGATCTCAGCCCTGCTGGAACCCTGCCTTAGACGGGAAGCTGCACCCTCATCCACAGGCCCCATGCCCCGAAGCCCATGATTTCTCCTGTGCTTTTGGACAGAGTGTATGTTCAAGTCCTGGCAGCTCTTCAGTTTGAGGAGAGCTTGGAAGCTGTGGGCTTCTTTGGAGCATCCATAGAAGTCTCCCACTGTGTTTCTGTGGGAGGGATAAGCCACCTGCTGCACACACACACACACACACACACACACACCATGGGCCACAGCACACTCACCCCATGGCCATGCTTTGACCCTTGACTCTTCCCAGTCAGCCACTGACCATAACAGCAATACCAGAACCAGGACCTTCTGACCTTGTACAAAACCCCTCTGGAGGACAGTCTTTGCTCATGGTCAAGACAAATATGAAGGGAGCCATAGACACCACATACACTTCACAGCTTTCCCTGAATAAATCCCTTTCTCCTCTAGTTGTTTAGCATCTGTTTCCAAACCCGAAGCTGACACATCCGCTGGCGTGGAGCTGTCCGCCACCGTGGTGCTGAAATCAGAGACTGCTGCCATGGCACAGGGCAGACATAATTAATACACCTGGTGTTTTCTGTTCTGTGACTGGGTGACCATGTGTGGATCTGTATACACTCTTGGTTATCCTTATGAGGGTAACATAATTTGTGTTTTCAAAGGGCTTGTACAAGTGCAGAGAGTAGAGCATAAAGAGATTGTAGGGATTGTAAAAGGTGGTTGGTTTCCTTGTGTGCCTCTCTGGAAAATCCAAGTGCTGTTGAAATCCAAAGTCACCCTCAGTCTCCAGAAACAGGATCATGCTGGCTTCTGCCTCTCCTACCTTCTGCCCTTCTAAAAGTGCCTCACATTGGCAAGGCCTGACTGAAATCCAACAGGAAAATCTCATCCAAAACTGTAGTTCTGTGTGGCAGCAGAAGAGGGACCTGGAAGAGTAAGAATAACAAGACTCTTGCAAGGTGGACAGCAGGTGTCACTTTAGTGCCAGCAGATGTCACTGACAATGTGAGGCTAGGTGTCTTAGTCCCAAAGAGGTGATAAAGTGGACAGAAGAGACCTTCTTCTCAGTAAAACTTGAGGACCACCCCTGCCAGGGGCCAGCTGTCTGACACTGGACAAGCAACATAATCTCTCTGAGAGCCTCTTTCAGTGTGTGTCTGTGTGTCCACATCTCCGTGTATGTATTTGTCTGTTGTGTGTAGTTGAGATAGGGTTGTGTGTGGAGGCACTCACTTTTAATTCAAGCACTGGGGAGGCAGAGGCAGACTGATCTCTGTGTTCAAGGCTAGTTCCAGGACAGTCAATGCCACACCGAGAAACCCCAACTCAAACAAAAAAAAATAAAATAAAATAAAAAATAAAAAGAGGGTATATTACTATGTAGCCTTGACTGAGCCAGAACTTGCTATGTAGTCCATGCTTGGCTCAGATTCATATAGATTCTACCTGATTCCACCTCCCAAATGCTAGAATTGAAGGTGTGTGTGTGTGACACATAAAGAAGAATGAAATCCTGTCATTTGCATCAGTAAGGATGACTGAGGTGTCATGTTATATGATATACCATGTTTTCCTTCATATATGGAAGGCTACATAAAAAGAAAAGTCAACCTGAAAGTAGAATAGGGATTATTAGAAGTTTGGTGATAGGGAGGGTAGAAAGGGGTAATTGGAATTGATCAGTGTGTGCATATAAGAAAAATCACACTTAAACCCACTAGTATGAATGATCTATGTGCTACATTTTAAAGTAAGTAATAAATAAGATAAAACCCACAAAGGCATCTGGCCATAACTGATTTATATAAGGAATCCTTGCACTTGTAAATGCAGATGCTAACAATACCCCCTAGCATACAGTAACTGATTAGTAAATGCAAAGTAAATAAAATGTGGTGAAAGAAAACAATGCCTCCCAAAAGTAGTCTAGGCCACTGATTCACTATCCCTGGGACAACATTTTATGCCAACTTAAATTTTCACAAGAAATATTCAGGAGAATGCGTGGTGTAAATAGAACTGTGTAGGGGATTCATCATGTTGATAAACACTGTGTGTCATATATTTGGAGATGCCATAGCAAACAAAAATGAACCACTGGAGTAGAGTCAAGCATGGCTAGCCAGGAGCTGCAGACTGTGTGCAGAGCAGAGAGGAACCATGGGAGTCTGGGGATTTACCATAGGCTCCCAGCCACTGGGACTGTTATCTTTGGCTTCGTATTTAGTTCTGAATGTCCAGAAATGTCACCTGGAAAATAAGAACTTTCTATAGTTCCACATGTTGATTTTTAAAACCATCAACTGTTAATATATTGGGGTTTGGATGCTTGATTGCTTTCATATTTTTTGAGACCGAGTCTCTATATAGCCCAGACCAGCCTAGAAACCCCTGTGGTCCTCCTCCTTTGGCCTTCTGAGAACTGGGACTGCAGGCAGCGTGGTCTCCTCTCCAGGACATACACGCACATACAATATTAAAGTGTCAGAGAAGAGACTTAACAAAAGCCCAGCCTAACCCAAGCAGGAGGGGTGCAAAACAGCAAGTGTGAAGAAGAGACTTAACAAAAGCCCAGCCTAACCCAAGCAGGAGGGGTGCAAAACAGCGAGTGTGAAGCTGTGTCCTCTCGTCTTCCAACTTGCTGAGAAAGGGATAGATGGACACAGAAGCTATCTCTTGACAGGGTCACAGCCTCTGGTTTCCAGCCCCAGCATCCAAAGGCTATGAAAGACTTGTAACTCAGTTACAAACCTTGCCCTCCACTGATGGGAGGTTATTTTTAGTCTTGATGCTATGCGATATGAATATTCATGGGTTTGGGTTTGTCTGCAGCAATATTAATATGTTGTTGATACCATGCCTCTCCAGGCACGGGGAGGGGGGGTGCAGCAATACGATAGACATGCTGCATTACCTATGTTGTTGATACCATGCCTCTCCAGGCGCGTGGGGGGGGGCAGCAATATGATAGACCAGCTGGATTACCTATGTTGTTGATACCACGCCTCTCCAGGCGCCAGTGGGGGTGGTAGCAATATGATATACATGCTGGATTACCTTCCTACAACCCCCAAAATTCCAAACTCTGGATATATTGAGGTTTTGAGACAAAGGATTACAGATCTATATTTCAGGAAGTCCCCAGTAATAGTAATCCCTTTTAAAGATATTAGGTTATAATCAGAGATGTTAAATAACTACTCAAGAGCACACGGTCAACAGCAAACTGCAAAGACTGACAGAACAAAGTATGTAGCTTATGACTTATGGTAGGCCGGATGTAGCAATGACTGGAGCTGATTTTACCTTACGGGCTGGGACTTGGGTGTGAGGGCTCATGAACATGCACATGGAAACCAGAGGTCACCTTGCCTGGCTGGATGTCCAGTCCATGGGTCCTTCCTGTCTCTGCCTCATAACCTTCAGGACTGCAAACCCATGCCATCATGCCCAACTTTTTGTTTTAATTATTTGGTTTCTGGGATTGAATTTATGTTTGCACAGCAAACACTTTACTGACTGAGCTATCTCTAAAGCCAAGGGCTGGCACTATTTAATAGACTGAAAATTATTTACAACAAAAAAAAAGAGGTCTTGTCACTGGCTAGGCCATGCTGTTGGGATTTCAGGCCAGCTTTTTCTGAGAGGCCTTCCTATCTGCACTCTCAAAGAAACCGAACCCTCTGAATTCAAGGAGAAGCTGTTTCTTCTTGTCCTTCAAAAGCAATTGAAAAGTAGGAGTTGCCTTTTAAAAAAAAAAAAAAAAAAAGGAAAGAAAAAAAGCCTACTAGACAAATGAAAACAAATCATTTTTGCATATCAATCAGGTGCCTGATTGAAACTGCGCTTGCTGCCTCGAGAGAAGAATATTAAAAGCAGATCACTGCTAATTTAAGCACAACTAATTTAAAAGACATACCTAGAAACAGACACATGGAGAATCTCTTAAACCCTATCTACCACCCGCTTTGTTTGGGTTGGGAAGTCCCAGTGTCATGGCATTTATCCCTATTGGTAGATGGTCAAGTCTGCCACCTCTGTAGACACAGGACCCCGGATCTCACCAATCCATCCCAATTTATCCCTGCTCTGGAGTGAGCAAAAGGAATCCAGAGGAAAGACCAGAAACAAAGATGCAAGGAGCTACCCCTTCAAGCAGGGAAGCCCATAAGAAGGACTGCTGGCTCCTTGTCACCCCCCTGCAGCTGGCCTCATTGGCTCTGTGGCTGATGCATGGCTGCTGAGACAGCATGCAAAAGCACTCAGATTATATGCCTCTCTTCCGACAAGCTCCGTGCTCCAGGACTTCCAGGTGAAGTCAAGACAAAACACTGCTTCAACTCAACTCTTTCCCATCTTTCAAAAACAAGTTTTATTATATTTCACTTATTTGGTGTGTGTGTGTGTGTGTGTGTGTGTGTGTGTGTGTGTGAGAGAGAGAGAGAGAGAGAGAGCGAGAGAGAGAGAGAGAGAGAGAGCGAGAGAGAGAGAGAGAGAGAGAGCGAGAGAGAGAGAGAGAGAGAGAGAGAGAGAGAGAGAGGGAGGGAGCATAATACGCATGTTGAGGTCAGAGGACAACTTACAAGAGTTGATTCTCTCCTACCATGTGGGTCCCAGGGATCAAACTTAGGTCTTTGGGCTTGGCAGCAACAATTGCCTTTGCCCACTGAGCCATTTCACTGGTCCCGATCTCCCCTTCTGAGTCTCCCTGAGTCTCCCTCCCTCTTTTCCTGTTTCTTCCACCCCTCACTGCTTTCTCATCCTGCAAGAATTAAAAAACAAAAACAGAAAAAACCCAAACCCAGACTTCTGTGTCACCCTACCTAAGATCACTGCACCAGGGTGCCACTTCTCAGTTTAGAAGGTAAATGGCATGCCTTGAGGTGAGTGACAAACGGAGTAAATTCTTCCCATTTCTAGAAAGTCAGCTTAGAAGATCAGCTCTCCCTGGAAGACTTGTATTTCCGTATTTGGAACTGCATGGGGAGAGGGAAAGGGAAATGAAGCAAGGACATGTAGATGCTGAGCCAACCTCTCCCTAGAGGAAGGAAACACAGTGTGGTACTCCAAGGGACTGCCCCTTCTCCATCTTACCCAGCAATGTCAGAGCCCAAGGTTATAGACTAGATTTGCTCACTCAGTTAGCATCCCATCCTGTGAGGCATGGCCATGCACCTGTGAAGACAGCAACTTTCTGCCTTCCTCCTGTCCGGTTAAAGGTGAAGGGAGCTGCCCCTACCGTGGAGATGAAAGCCAGCAACCCTGAGGAATGGAGGACCTCTCAACCCAGGTCTCAACATCATGGGGTCCCAAATTGTCTCAGGACCAGAAAGAATCCCTCGTCATGATAAACCAAGTTATTTGAGGTTCTGTTGAGGAATCAAATTAATAACCCAGCTAATGTGGCTCCCTAGTGTGGAGTGGAATTGCTGAGCTTCTAACTGGACGGTGAGTAAATAAAGAGAAAACAGGCTGCCTCAGCCTGAATGTCCTCTCAGGATCCACAACAAAGTGTTCATCAACAGTGGACAGAGGAGTGAGAGGGACCCAGACTGTAAACAGTATCAGACAATGCCCCCTCCCAGGGTACCAGGGAATCAACTCCTTGGGGGAGTTCTGGGGACACTTTCAGTCTCACCAGTGTGTCGTGGACACAGGCAAGGAGATGAGGCTGCACACTCACCCTCTCCGGTCTTGAGGGGATGCGGGCTGAGCATTCAGCATCTGCTTCCATGAGACCTTTCTATAAAGCTCTGTCTGCCGGTCACAGCCAGGAGTGGAGGCCATGGGGCAGGGGCGGAGGCCACTGTCACCAGTTGCCTCATGTTCCTGTTGTCATATGACGATGGACTGTTCTCCTCAAACTGTGAGCCAAAATAAATCTTTTGTTGCTTAAATTGCTTTTGCCAGATGTCTCACCCCATTACACGAACAGTGATTTAATATAGGCTCACCTCACCAAAGACTCCAGGCACCTGCTCGCTTGGCAGCCATTCCCTCTTACATGTCCCTTTTCTTCTATTCTTCCCCTTCTCAAAAACCATGATCAACCTGTAAATTCCTGCTCTTCTCTTTCCCAGTCTATTCTGTTCTTGGGCACCTGGAGATTCCTAACACTTCCCCCAGGGTTTGACAAAGCACTACTTTCAAATGCACCGGTGTCTCCCCAGGACATCTGGTAAATATCTGACTCTTTCAAAGCGACTGTATCCCTCCAGTCGGTTTTCTCAGTTAATGAAAAACAGCTAGACAAGCAACAGCAAATGATTCAACCTACCTGAAAGGGGGAGGCAGGGGGAGGAGATGCAGATACCCCGGAGAAACTTATGAAAGGGGAGCCCGGGCAGTAAGGATTCTCTGAGGATAACCCCACTGGGGAGAACAATGGCTAAAAATAGCCACTGACCCTGGGTATCTGAAAGGAAATGATGAAAATGTTGACCAAAGAGTTTAAAGTGTCTTTGAAGAAAAAAGGAAAGTACACCCATCTTTTTAAAGCCCTGTGGATGTCACTTGCTGCACTCTCTGGAAAGGAAAACCTACTTAGCTAAGATGTTGATTTTTTTTTTTTTTTTTGTTTAGGAATAACCTTTAAAATAGGCAAAGGACAGCCATGCCACCCTATCAAGTAGATATTGGGGCAACAGGGTGGCAACGAAAATGATAGATGGCCCCCAAACATCGGAGAGGTCATAAAAAGAAATGGCTAGGTCAGCAGTCAGCCACCATTGTGGAATCAAAAGTAGCCAGAGTTGCTTTTGCTGGCAGCAGAAGGATGGGGCGGGGCTTCAGAAACTAGGGCACCTAGGAACTAAACCAGGGCTTGTAGGAGTGGGGTGGAATCTGATCCTAACCTCCTCTACAGATGTCCTCACAGCACCACACTCCAGCCACCTTGCAAAGGGGTTCTTCTCCAGAGAGAGATGCAAGGCCCTGGGAGAGGGACTCTGATTCTTTCTTTCCTGGGCCATGACCTGCCTGGGTAGTGTGCCATCTCATTCTCCGGTCTCCAGAGTTCCTCACATGTGGTGAGCCCTTGGCTATTTGAGATAAAAGGAACTCTCTCTGGGCTCAAGCCCAGGTCACGGTGATCTGGCTAAGTGCACCAAGAAGTTGACACCCTACTGATCACCAGGTCTGCTACAGGGCTTCTCTGTGGAAACCAGCTACACCTCATATATACTTGCTCCTTCTACAGCAAGACCAAGCTGAGGATATGGGCCATTGGCATCTGGCACTGTGATCTCCTCACAAAAGCAGTGGCTCGTAGGGGCCTGGACCTGCAGTATCATTTCTTCTGTCACAACCAAGTCCGCCGCCAGAAGACAGAATTGAAAGACCAGTAGAAACAACCATTTGAGTCATCCCTAGCCGGCAATGAATGGGTTAATTTATGTAGCCAGTAAGGGGGGGGGGGAGGCATGTGTGGTGATGGCCCATCTATAGATCTGTTTGTACAGAACTGACATCCTTACTTTGTGCAGCTTGACTTTCCATTGTTTAGATTATTTATTATTATTATTATTATTATTATTATTATTATTATTATTATTATTTTCGAGACAAGGTTTGTCTGTGATTGTTTAGGTCTGATTTCTTCACTTTCCATTGTTTAGGTCTGATTTCTTGTACTGGTATTTTGCTGTTTTCAACAGAGGGTTCCTGTGCACATTCTAGATTTATTTATTTATTATTATTATTATTATTATTATTATTATTATTATTATTATTATTTTCGAGACAAGGTTTGTCTGTGTAACAGCCCTAGCTGTCCCAGAACTCACTCTGTAGACCAGGCTGGCCTTGAACTCACAGGGATCCACCTGCCTCTGCCTCCCAAGTGCTGAGATTAAAGGCGTTCATCACCACCAGCTGACATATGTATTTTTTTTTTTAATGTGGTTGTAAATTTCAACGAAGAGATCCTGTGCACACTCTAGATTTCTACCTAGGTAATTTTTAATGTGGTTTGTAAATAGTATTGTGTTTTTCATTTTATTTTCCTTGTGTTTGTTACTGGCATATAGATTTCAAGTTTTCTTACACTCTTCCTCACCCAAAACACTGACTAGTTCCAGAAGGTTTTTGTTTTTGTTTTGTTTTTTTAGATACCTTGGGTTTTTTTTGTTGTTGTTTTTTACATAGAAAAACACATCACCTACAAATAAGGACAGTTTTATATCTTTGTTCCCAATCTGTATTACTTTCTAAAATTTTAATTTCTTAAGATTTATTTATTCTATTTTACATATATGAGTGTTTTGCCTGTGTGTGTGTGTGTGTGTGTGTGTGTGTGTGTGTGTGTGTGTGTACACCAAATGTGTGCCTAGTGCCCTCAGAGGTCAAAAGAGGACAGCAGATCCCCTGGACCTGGAGTTACAGGTGGTTGTGAGCCACCATGTGAGTGTGGGGAACTGAACCCCATCTTCTGCAAGAGCCCCCAGGACTCTTAACAACTGAGCCAACTTTCTAAAGCCCCCCCTTCAGATTTTAAAGAATTCTTCTGCTTCTTCACAAGTGGACTGTAGGAGACTGTCCCATCTCTGTGTGCAGGAAGCAAGTGGGGTGTGGAGCCCTGTGCAAAGCCTGGAAGAGGAAGACAAGAGGACGCTAAGGAGCCAAATCCACCACTTTGCTTGTGGGACTAAACAGAGATGCTGAGTGGGTGTGTAGAGGCTTGAGGCCAAATTCTTGAAGGAGAAATAAAAGATGGATATAAAATTTGGAAGATTCAAACATTAGAACAAGCAACAACATAGATGTCAGCCAAAAGAGGGTACAGGGCTGAGCCTGGGGCCACCGGTATTTAGAGAGACCCTGGTGAAGCAGCGTGCAGGTCTCCTTGGCCCAGCCTCACCTTCTGACATGAGGCTTCTAGAAATATACACCAGCTCCTTCTAATACACTTAGACACGTGACTGACAGAGTGGCAGGTCCATGACATCCAGTCAGCCCTTGTTTCCCACTGCAGATAGAAATTTCCAGCTAACTAACTATACTACGAGTTGCCTAGTCTGCCATTTGCACTACCTCACAGTAGTATCTATTAGGAAATCAAAACCTGAATCTGAGCTCTGATGAACAAAGCAGAAGGACTTGCCACAGTCAGCACTGGGGCACAGTGAAGGGCCCAGAGCAAGGTGAGAACAAACATGACTTTCCTGTCCAGACCTGTGTTTAAATCCTGCCCCTGTTGGCTAGTCGCTGGGCGATTTCAGGCAAGATATTTAACCTCTCAGGATGATTTTCCCATTGTAAAATGGAAATACTATTGCCCAAAAGAAAATTGTTTCCCTTCTGATAAATGGCTGCAGATCTTTCCCTGTCTGTTGTCCTGGAGACATCGTCATAGGAATAACCACACTGTAGAAGTTTCAGCCCACACATAGACGGATCGTTCTATTTGTACTTCTCAAGATCACCGTAAGTTCTCTTTGGACTACAGCAAAATAAAACAGGGCAAGTGGGTTGTAATTTAGTAATTATGGGTGGGGCCTCACTGCGCGTTTGCCTGGGGTCAGAAGGTATCTGTAACTCAGAGAAGAATAAAATGCTTGCTCGGCATTTTGATCTTCCCTTGCATGAAGGCTGTACCCTTTGCGATGTCTTTGGAGGCATTAATGAAATGCAGTTGGGAGTGCCCACACTGACTGCATTTGATGGGACACGGGCCGCTTGTAAACCAGTCACACTGTGTTCTTGAAAACAGACTTGCCTCTGATATGAAGGAAGGGGATGAAGGTCCAGCTGCATTGACCCCCAGGTGACTTGTGTTTATGCAGACTGAGGTCTCAAATGGGAATTTCTGCAAATCCACCATATTTCAAAATCCTTCAAACCTAAAAGTGCATGCACACATACCACACAGCATGTGTGTGGAGGGCAGAGGTTCTCTCATTTCTCCCACTGGGCTGCATACTCCCAGCTACCAGGCCCAAGAGCTTCTGGGCGATTCTCCTGCTTCCACACCCCATCTCCAATAGGAGGACAGCTACGTGTCACAGAGTCTGACTTTGAAATGCAGGTTCCAGGGTCGGAACTCAGGCCATCAGGCTTGCGTGCAAGCACTTTTTACCTGCTGAGACATCTCACCAGCCCCCAAGACTTCACTTCTTTGGGGGGTTTCCTGATAGGCTTTTGTGCTTGTTTCTTGCTTTTTTGTAGTTATCATTTGATGTCCACTCCCAAAGCCTGCTGCAGCTGAGTCATACTGAGAGTTTCCGCTTTTCTCCATTCACACAGGCCTTGAGATACCTTGTGGAAAGAGCAGAGTCCAGTTTGCTTCCTTTTCCCAGCCTGGTGACTCACACTCACTTGTCCTTGGCCTCACCTTACTCCTGAACCTCAGTACATTTGCAGTGCAGACAAACCCGATCAATTGTACAGGAGAGGGGAGCAACCCACAGCTGAGGATTCAGGATGAAGAAAAGGATGACTCCCACGTTCTTAGAAAAACGATACTGATTTCTCTTTTCAAAAGGGAGTTTTAGACTGTAACAGCCAGAGGTCAGGGCCGGGCACAGGTGAGAACCAGAACGATACAGTGTCTTCTAAGCGTGACACGGACCACTACACTCACCCATCAGGAGTTTTTGCAAAGATGATGAGATTAGAAAGAAACTTTCCAGATGCTCTTTGTAGGCATTTCTCCATACACAGGATAGCACAGATGTATATGGCTTTTACTCCTAGAAATTCTTACATAGGAAGGTAATTCAGAGTGGTTTGTACTACATCTTTTTTCTAGCACTGGATGCTTCAGAAAGATATGTTGACTCTTGTGAAGCCCATAATCAGGTAAATGTAACTTTCAGAACTAGAGAGAGCATCTCAAAGCTAATTTGAGGAATTACCACATATCTTTGTATACACATTTCAGTTATATTCCTTGTGTGTCCCACCTTTCCACAGATATTCATTAAATGCTGTGACTAAGAACAAAACTACTTAGTTAGTTAGTTAGCTAGTTTCGAGACAGGGTTTCTCTGTGTAGCCCTGGCTGTCCTGGAATTTACTCTGTAGATCAGGTTGGCCTTGAACTAAGAGAGCTGCCTGCCTCTGCCTCCTGAGTGCTGGGATTAAAGGAGTGTCCTACATCCTACCACCACCCAGCTGACAATTTATAATATTAAAAGACCATGGAGCTAATGACACGGCTCAGCCAATAAAGGAACTTGCCACCAAGCCTAACGACCTAAATCCAATCTCCAGAACCCACATGGTATAAGGACAGAACCAATTCCTGCAAGTTGCCATCTGACTACACATGAGCCCACACATGTAAGTCCACATACATATACACTAAATAAGTAAGTGTAAAGGGGGGGTGGTAAGACCTGCTTGTTCTATGAGCAACCTGGACAAGTTCATACTCATGAAACACAATAGACTATACCTAGTAGCAAGCTTATATAATAGAATATACCCTTTTATTGGGACCTCACTCTGAGATTTTACCCTACCTGCAAGCTAACCAATTAATCTGCCACTGTTTCATGATAGAGTTGCTGCAGAATGAACAAAATAGCCATCATTTTCATCAGATCAGTTGTGCCTGTTTGCAAGAAGCCTTCAAAATGAGCCTGTGGACTTTCCTCAGAGAATGAGAGGGTAGAGAGGGTCACTGGACCCTCATCTGAGTTTGCAGCCACTCCCCTGCCCCAGCTATAATTGTATATAATTCTTCCCTGATTGCACTATGGCCTCTGGGTCTCCAGAGGTGCTGCAGCATAAATGCTGAGGAAAGTTAATGGAAGGGGGTGGGGGAGTGGGGGGTGGTGCTCCATCTATGAAGCCAAGGGGAAGCCATCATCCACTCTGGGAGAAGTGCAGCTGCCTCAGATTCACCCATGCTCCCATCAGCAACCCTGCCCCCGCTGCTTTGTAAGGCCAGTAAACTTACTGGTTCTCAGAGTGAATTTTGGTGGAATCACACTTTGATTTGTCTGTCTTTGAGACCTCATGAGAGGGTGGGTAGAGATTGTTCACATCTCCCCAAGAAGGAATCCTTGAAACAAAAATACAAGACTCCTAAATTGAAGGACTTTCTCGTGGTCTGGACTTGTATCACCAATGTAGAGTGGAGAATGGAAAAAGTCTACAAGGTTTACAGGACTTATGGAAGTACTTTCATTTGACTTACGCCTGAGGGAGATCCTTCTGAAATTAAAAAAAAAAAAAACAAACCAAAAACCCAGAGGTGTTAGAGTCAAAAGTACCTCACATGAAAGGTGAAGGAAATTTGATCAGGCAATAGAAAGATGTAGATAGATTTTGAGCAATGTGGAGCTTGAACCAACTAATCTTGCAAATAGATTGGAATAATAGTTATTCTTGGATTAAAGGGAAAATAGGTGTTTTTAACAAAAAATAAAGCAAACATAGAAGAGAAGTGTTGGTAGAATATTAGGCTTCAGCAGTCAGAGGGGAGAAATAACTCATTTTGTTCTTGGTTTTGGTTTTGGTTTTTTGAGACAGGGTCTCATGTATCCCAGGATGGCCTCAAATTCACTATGGATTATAAGAACATACCACCATGCCCAGCTTTAATACCACCATGCCCAGCTTTAATACCACCATGCCCAGCTTTAAAGGCACCCTTTGAGCTAATCAATTGAGATATGTAAGCATATTGGAAGATGACTTGGCAATTGAACCCAGAGCAAAGATCAAGCCAGTCCCCTGGTAAAAGAGTAGCCAAAAGCCATTAGTTGGAAGACTGAACTAGACTATGTCATCAGTTAAGATGAGTGCATTTGAAAGACACTTAAGAAAATGCTCAACATCCTTAGTCATCAGGGAAATGCAAATCAAAACCATATCTTACACCAATCAGAATGGCTAAACAAAAAAACACCAATGACAGCTTATGCTGGAGAGGAAGTGGAGAAAGGGGAACACTCCTTCATTGCTGGTGGGAATGCAAACTTGTAAAGCCACTGTGAAAATCAGTATGGCGATTTCTCAGAAAAGTAGGAATCAACCTACCTCAAGACCCTGCAATACCACTGTGGGGCATATACCCAAAGGAGGCACATTCACACCACAAGGACATTTGCTCAGCAATGTTCATATCAACACTATTTGTAGTAGCCAGATCTTGGAAACAGCCTAGATGCCCCTTAACTGAAGAATGGATAAAGAAACTGTCATATGTTTACACAATGGTAAGAAACAATGACATTCTAAAATTCTCAGGCAAATGGACAAAATTAGAAAAACAAAAAAACATCCTAAGTGAGGTAACCCAAAACCAGAAAGACAAATATAGTATGTACTCACACATAAATGTATACCAGACATAAAGCAAAAGATACCCAGCCTACAATCCATAACCCCAGAGAAGCTAGAACCCTCCTCCAGAAACAGATGGAAGCAGATGCAGAAATCTACAACTAACCAATGGTCCAAGCTCCTGGAGTACAATCAAGGTGAGGGAGGAGCAATAGTATGAACAAAGGGAACAACAGGGAACCCCACAGAATCAGCTGATCTGAGCTACCGAGAGATTACTGAGTCAGGTCTGACAAATGGGGAACCTGCATAAGACCAAACTAGACTCCCTTAGTATAGGTGGCAATGGTGTGACTGAGACAATATATGAGGCCACTGTCAGTGGGTCCAAGATCTAACTCTAATGCACAAACTGACTTAGTGGAGCCCATTCTATATGGAGAGATACCTTGCTCAGCCTAGACACAGGGGTGTGGGAGTGGAGAGGTGCCTTGGTCCTGCCTCAACTAGATGATGGGACAGACTTAGTAGACTTCCTAGGGGAGGCCTTACTCTCTCCATGGAGCAGATGGGAGGAGGGGAGGTGGAGGGTTTGGGAGGCAAAGAAGGGGAACTGGAATTGAAATGTAAAAAATTAATTAAAAAATGAACAACAACAAAAAATGACTGCATTCAATGTGTACTTACATAGAAAAGGATTCATGGTATTAGAAGAGATACTAAGTTGTAAATAGATTAGTGAGATAGCTCAGCAGATAAAGGAATTTTCCCACCAAGCCTGATGACCTGACTTTGATTCCTGGGTCCTATATTAGCGGCAAAGGAGAAAACTGACTTCCACAATTTATTCCTCTGACCACATGTTCAACATAACACATACACTCTCCCCTGTCTCACCCCCACCACACATAATCAATACGTTATTTTACAAGTTTAAATAAGCAAAAGGGAACCGAAGCAATGGTTCAACAGGTAAGGGCTCTTGTTCTCCAAGAGGACCTGGGTTCAGTTCCCAGACATGCATGATGGCTTACAACTACCTGTACCTCCAGTTCTGGGGGATTCATTGCCCTCTATTGGCCTCCTCCGGCTCCTGAACTCATGTGGTATATATACATATATCTGGGTAAACACTTATACACATAAAATTAAAATTTTTAAAAGATATTCTTAACATATGTACATACAAAATAAAACATTCATTAAAATATACACCAAAGGGTTAAACTGCCCCTCAGAATGGTTACTAATTTTTCTGGCTCCATATTTTCTGAGACTTTTTCAGTGAAAACAAATCATTTGTAGAGAGGAAAATAGCCAAGGTAATGTAAGCTGACACCCACAGCTCATGTGGGGGACAAACCCTCCTGGAGACTCACATGCATGAACTAACCTCCGTGGGTTGGATTCAGCTTGCTTCTCTCTCAGCACATCAGAATAGTCAGGGAAGTTTCTCTTCCCAGGCCAGGCAGGACCCAGCCCCTGGAGATTCTGACTTAAATGGCCTGGAATGTGGCTCCGACCTAACTATTTGCTTGTTCTGAGCAATTCAGCTGGACAGGAAGGTCCAGAAAACACTGGTAAGACCGAAACAGTGTTCTGAAAATGTAAGGGGAAAGGAAACGAAATACTATGAAATCACAAGAGAAAATGAAACGGTTTGCAACAAGAGTATCTCAACGATCGAAGGCTAAGGAATATCACAAAAAAAAAAAAAAAAAAATCCAACCTTGAAATAAACCTTATACCAGAGATTTATTGGGGGG